CTATCCGAATCTTTCCGGATCTCTCCAAATCAATTTGGAGGGTTCCAATTTGATTAGAAGAGAATAAAGGGCCCTCTGATTTGATTCAGATTCAGAGATTTGGCTGCTGAATCTCCGCCAAATCGAATCAGGGACTGAAGCTTCATACAGCCCTACTGGTCACCTACATCTGTCAAATCAGCTTTAACATGATTGATTCAAACTCAGAGCCTTTAGAAAAACTACCCCAGATCTCAGGAGGTTGTAAAATACATTCCCCTATATTCTTGGTATGTTCTGTACCTATTGGATGGGATCATGGCACAGGGGACATGATGGTGGGAGTCTACTACAGACCTCTCACCCAAAGTCAAGAGCTTGACCAGGAGTTCGCCAGGGAACTGGCTGAGGCTGCGTACTCCAGGTCCATGGTTGTCATGGGAGACTTCAACTACCCAGAAATATCGTGGGAAGAGCGCTTGGCTAAATCCAAGCAGTTGCAAAGCTTCCTCTCGTGCATGGATGACCTCTATCTGGCACAAGAGGTCTATGGGCCAACAAGAGGTTGGGTGACAGCAACCGTGAGCTGATCACTTCACCATCCGCCATAAAACTGGCAAGTCAGTCAGCAATACAGAAGTCCTTGACTTCAGGAAAGCTGACTTTGACAAGCTAAGCAGACTTGTCAGTGAGGCCCTAAGGGACCATGACTCCAAGGGGAGGGGAGTTCAGGAAGAGTGGTTGCTCCTCAAGGGAGCAATCCTCAATGCACAAGCTAATGCTATTCCAACTTGGAGGAAAGGCAGCAAAAGGGCATAGCAGCCCCCTTGGCTCTCCAGGGAACTAGCAGAGCTCTTGCAGCTAAAAAGAAAGGCCTACAAAGGATGGAGGATGGGATTCACCTCCAAGGAGGAATATTTTGCACTGGTCCAGTCCTGCAGGGAGCAAACCAAGAAAGCCAAGGCTGCTACAGAACTCCAACTAGCTACAAGTATCAAGGAAAATAAAAAGTCATTTTTTAGATATGTGGGGAGCTGGAGAATAAGCAAGGGCAACACTGGACCCCTGCTAAACCAGATGGGACAACTGACAATCGATGCTCAGGAAAAAGCCAACCTATTAAATGGGTACTTTGCATAGGTCTTTCATCAGTCCCACAGGACACCCCTACCCATTACAGGACAGGGAGGCCTGGGTGAGGGGGATTCCCTGCCCTCCATCAATGCTGACCTCATGAA